GAGCCTCATGGGTACTCTCCCTACCTTCCACCTTTAGGCGCTCTAACCATGGGGCTAGAGCGAGGTTCCGTTGAGCCACGCTAGGTATCCAGGTAGATATTGCCACCCACGCTTGGATTAGAAGTATCGATCAATCGATCTCCTAGGGGAACTAAAGCCAACTCTTAAACACTTCACCAAGCTACCCCACTTGTTAGTCCGTATTCACTCTAACTTTAGACTCTTTAGTAGATATATCATCACCCAACACGTGGCATAGTCTTCTTGGGTCACACTAGCCTTTCCTAGCCAAACTAGCTCCATTGGGGTCCAACCCCTACACTCTCCCTACTATACTTTTGGAACCCTCTATAGCACCCCACCCCCCCTCCTGCCCCCAAGGGGATGATTGCTTTGGGCTTTCACCCAACAGCCTGTATTAGTATTTGTACTTAGACTCGGACTCGAACTTAGACTCGAACTTGGTCTCAGTCTCGATTCCATCTCAGACTACATTTTGGGTCTATCTCAGATTCCATCTCCGACTTCATCTTGGACTCCATCTTGGATTCCATCTTGGACTCCATATTGGATTCCACCTTGGGTCCATCTTGGATTCCATCTTGGGTAAATCTCGAACTCCATCTCGGATTCATCTCAGACTCCATCTCAACACTTCCACATGTGTTGGTCCTCTTGTGTCCCTTTTTCTAGAGACTCACTTATTATTTACTTCGTGCTCATTCCTCAAGCACTTCGTTGAGAGTTCCACTCCCGCTCTTAACTTTTCAAGTTAGAGTTTTTAGTCCAAACATATTACTCTTGTTTGACTTTTGTTTTGACCACTACCACGTGGCACCCTTTCATCTCCACTTTTGGGGCTCTGGGATTTGTGTCTCACACTAGCATGGTGTGGAACTTAAGTTTAGACCCAAGCCAAACACAAAAAAAAAGACAAGCACGCAAGCAGAAGCTAAACTATGCTTTAAGTTGGTCAATCATGCCTAAATCACTACTATACATTTGCAACCTCTTACAAACGGAGCCAAACAGAGTCTAGCATTATATCAGCATACCAAGCGAGGATATAGGTATCCATTAGTTAACTGTAAATGACTAAATTTTCCATTCTACTTTAGTCATTTAACCACACCTCTAACCACTTAGAGAAGTCTCACTCACAACCTCCATAAGTCTTATTCTAGACTTGAGGCTTGCTAGCCCCGAGAATGGCATTTATGCCACTCAACCTTTATACTTGGTCCAAGTACTTCACGTGTCCAGTCCCATAACCGACACCTAAAGGTACCATTAACATATCAACCTATTACATTAAGGCTATGCCCATTCACCTTTTTCACACAGGTGATCCAACACCACCTATATCACAATCCCATCTCTCAAAGACTAAGATATCCATTTATGAGTGATCATCCTAGATCTACTCCTTAGCATCCTTAAAATGCCCGTAAATATGGCAAACAACCTTCCCCAAAATCCCTTTTTTAGTTCTCACCAAGTCCCTTTCTGTCTATGGCCGTGTTTGCCGACACTACCACTGGGTCAAGGTCCACAGGCCCAACTATTAAGTCCCACTATCCTTTGGGACTTCCTCACTATATAACCATATCCTTGGTCACTACACTAGAGGATTGCTCCTCTTCCTTTCCACAGTCTAGGACTTTATGGCAACATTTTGAAACACTATGGCCCTATATAAGCCTTATGGGTACTCTCCCCACCTTCTGCCTTTGGGTGCTCTAACCATGGGGCTATAGCGAGGTTCCATTAAGCCACACCAAGTATCCAAGTAGGTAGTGCTACCCACATTTGGACTAAGAGCATCGATCATTCGATCTCCCGTAGGAACTAGAGCCGCCTCTTGAACACTCCACTAAGGTACCCCACTTGTTAGTTTGTATTCACTCTAGCTTTGGACTCTTTAATGGATATATCATCACCCAACACATGGGTATAATCATCTTGGGTCACACTAGCCTTTCTTGGCCAAATTAGCTCTAATAAGGTCCAATTCCCACACTCTCTCTACTATACTTTTGGAACCTCCTATAGCACCCCCACCACCCACCCCCACCACCCACCCCCCCCCCCCCCCTTTCTCCCTCTTTGGGGGCAATCACTTTGGGCTTTCACCCAATAGCATATATTAGTATTCGGATTCAGACTCGCACTTAGTCTAGGTCTTGGTCTCGATCTCAGTTTCATCTCGGACTACATTTCGAGTCCATCTCAAATTCCATCTCGAACTCCATCTAGAACTCCACCTTAGGTCCATCTCGAACTCCATCTCGGACTCCATCTCAGATTCCATCTCGAACTCCATCTCGGACTCCATCTCAGATTCCATCTTGGACTCCATTTTGGATTCCACCTCAAATCCATCTCAGACTCCATCTTTGGTCCATCTTAGACTCCATCTCAGGTCCATCTCGGACTCCATCTTAGGTCCATCTTGGACTCCATCTCGACACTTCCACGTGTCATGTGTTGATCCTCTTGTGTCCCTTTTTCTAGAGACTCACTTATTGCATACTTCGTGCTCATTCCTTGAGCACTTCGTTGAGAGTTCCACTCCCACTCTCGACTTTTGAAGTTGGAGCTTTTAGTCCAAATGTATTACTCTCGTTTGGCTTTTGTTTCAACCACTACCACATAGCACCCTTTCAACTCCATTTTTGGGGCTTTAGGAATTCTGTCTCACATTAGCATGGTGTGGAACTTAAGATTGGTCAACAAGGCCCAACCTACCCACTATCGCTACTACTATACATTTGGAACCCCCTATAGTGCCCTCCCCCCCCCCCCCCAACCTTGAGGAACACACGTTTTGGGCTTTCACCCTTAGCCATCCTTACTACCAGGAGTTAGTCTTCAAGACTAACTTGAAACTTATTAAATATGGAATGGCGCTAGATTGTGAATTTAGATATAGGACTAACACCATTGTGTTCAAAATAATCTCTAAATTCTGTAGATATACCAAATTAACAAATCTAGACACTTTCCATAAGGATCAAATGGAATTAACATAAGGTGTATGATAGTAAAAGTGTTTGGCAGACACAGTAAGCTATTATTTGGCAAATATTGAGGGACCAAACTCAATATTGTAGGGGTTCTCAATACTAGCAAATGCAAGCCAACATTTGAGTTTCTCTTACTGGGCCGGGTATTCTCAACAAGAAACACATAGGAGTTCCTACTTTATGTTTATCTGGCATAAGTATATACATGATGACCAGTTTCTCAACTAACTTGGGTGGAGTGATAAAGGGTCTAGCAATACCAACTTCCTACCATCGTGGCAATAAGGAAAGAATATCTGAAAGGATTAGCCAAAAAATAACTTTCAATACCTACAGTCATATTCGCAACACAAATGCTTCCCTATATTATCTCTTATTTACTCTACAAGGATCTCAAGATATTCAAGGAGTATAATATCTCTTTAGTATGTGTATCTTACAAAGGTATAGAGTTTCATTAGTATTTCACCATATAAATGTATGTAACCAAAGAGAAGAACTTGAAAGGTAGTCCATTAGAGTTCAAATATATAGGGAAATAACATATAAATAGAAGAGCACCTCTTTTTCTAATTAGTTAAGGGTCTTGAAATATATATAAAGTTAAACATACTATATAAGATGGGTGACCTTTTGAAAAGTCTAAATTACATTAAACTCTTATATGGTTATGATTTTATATTATCAATAGAGTTGAGGTTCTCTTTGCTATAACTATTGATGCTAGGTCATAGGATTAGTATTTGACAAGAATTCTAAACACTTGGGCCACATACAAATAATATAACAATGTTGCTACAATGTTTGTCATTATCTATAAAATACACAATAAATGACTGATATGGTCCATTTCATTGAGCAAGGCATCTCTTGGAAAAACTACTTATCATTAGATTGGGATAAAGTGTTGCAAATCAATCCTCCAAAAATTATATATATACAATGACTAAAGCATGTTGTAAAAAGGGATTATAATAAATTGTACCATCTACAAATCTATCAATGTCCTTGATATTCCTCTAGATCTTAGCCCATCAACAAGATCCACTAATCCTAACCTTTCAACGAAAGAACCTTAATTACCTTTTGTCCTTCCAAGAGAATTTTAATGAATATTTTAATGCTTACAGTGTAATCTAATGGATATTCTTATGATTATTCCAATGCTCATAGAATTCACTCCCAGCGCTTGCTTGGGCAGCTGCAGAAAATATGGTGTTTCAGTCTGTAGCTTATGCCAGCTCTAGAGGTTGCGAGCAACTCAAATGCTAAAACAACACAGCAATAACAGTCTGCTTCGAGCAGTAAGAGCCAGAGTCAGAATATTGCCTATTGCTACCTTCTACCAGGATGTAAGTCTGCTCTTTTGCTTGGGCTTGAACTTTATGTGGTTTTTCATGTGCAGGGCAGTTTGTCAGCTGTGGACTAAGGGAAAGCTAGTACTAGATGTGACAAAGAGTTTTCATGGCAAAAGTGAATATGTGAGACCCATTTTTAGAATTAGGGTCTGCATTAGCACCGAACCGTTTTAAAAGGAAAAAACCATATTTTCGTGTGTGAGAGTCCCTGGCGGGTTCCTTTTACATGCACTGTAAGTCGGACAAAGTATGTAGCTTGGCCACCAAGGAAGCTTTCTCAATCTTCTCAATCTAATGTAGGTGAAATTTGACGAACAAGGAAAGGCGCCATCCGGAAGAGAGACTGCACTGTCAAAGCGGGTGGTGTTTGCGATCCTTCTTACCTTCCAAGCATGGTAGAGAGAAAGTCGGGGTTGGGAAGTGTGCCGTGGAAGGTGGCCCGGGCGATATGCGTAATGAGCCAGACACGAGAATTCGGCATCGGACACGATCTCGCTTGTTTGACAATGAACGAACTATGATGCTCATTAGGTACGAGCCCGTTCCATTAAGGTCGTGCCAGAGCTATGATCAGCGAGACGGTGCACTGGAAACGTATGCCTTTGTTTATTTTTTTGGTAAAAATGCCCTAAAAGCGCCCTAGCGAAGGCATGGCAGTGGGCTTCAAGCGCCCGATCGTCACATTCAACAGATGGAAGATTTTGCGAGGCGACAAGGTAGAGTCGAGGCCGCGCGCGTTTTCTTACCTGCATTTCAGGTGAAGATCATCACTGGAAATGATAAAGGCCTGACTGGGACGGTTAAGGAGGTTTTCCGGAAGAGAAACAAAGTGATTGTGGAGGGCAGGAATCTGGTAAGTAGGCCTACACACTTGCGCTCATCCTTTGGCTGGATCCAGGTGAAGCGGCATGTCAAGCGCACCGTAGACAATCTGACCGGCGTTGTGACCAAAGAGTCTCCGATCCACGTTTCCAACGTCATGCTTGTGGATCCAGTTAGCGGGTGCAGTTGGCTATCTCACTCACTCCTCGTTTGACGCTCTTTGTTTGCAGGGGTCGAGTGAGAAGCAAATGTGGCTTCCTGCAGGACGGGAGCAAAGTGAGGATATCCGTTGGCACGCTTGCGACAGGGAGCGTCATACCCAGGCCTGCCTGCCTAGCGTTCAAAAAAGTTCGTCTGGATGGTAAAGGCTCTGCTCTTGTGTTCTTGCTCGTTTCATGTCATTACCTTGCCCCGCAGGTGGCCCCAAGAATACACTCAAGGACGACGTGCTGGAGAGGACCTACGATCCTGCCATAGGCCTGGGCATCCATCCGTCCCGCAACTTCTTCTGGATGTACGAGCCAGTGTATCCAGTGCTACCACGCTTCCCACCCAGCGAAGCCAGAGGGCCTCGAGCTTATGACTACTACAGGAACCTCAACCAGGCTCCCAACAGGCTGCCCTACACTCCGTCAAAACGAGAGCAACGGGCTGCCAGGCTCAAGGAGAAGCAGGAAGTGATTGCTGCTATTGCTGCTCAGCAGAAACAGAAGGAGCAGGCATCATGAAGAGCCATAGCTGTTTTTCACGAAACACCAAAGTCACTTCTCCACTGCAATAACCTGAGTTGGTCCCGCTGCTGAAACTGCCGAAAGGGCCGAGCCTGTCAAAGCTAATGATCCTCGCACAAAGTCAGTCGCTTTTTTCGCTCCTTGCCACAAGCACCACCAGAACAAGATCCAAGCTGCAAGACAGAGTGCATTTAGTTGCTTTGTGACAAGGACTGCCTCACCTGTAACTAGGATGGCTGCACCGATTGTGCTGAGAGCAATGCAGGAGATTGCCACGGCAGCTGTTACAAGTGCACCGATGTAGACGGCCGTGAGCATCATGAAGAAGAGCGCCACGAAAGCTCCTATTCCAGTGACGGACATCAAGAATCCTATGGCGACAGCGTTGGCTGTGGCAGTGACAAGAAACAGGATGAACGTAGCGAGCGCTGCCAGAGAAACAAACACCACGATGCCAAGCTGCAACACCCAAGAAACAGCGAAGAATGTCGGGGAGGAGGGAGTAACACGCTATATAGCTTACGGTGCTGACGAGAAACGCTCGCCATGGTCCTCCCCGGTGCATCCACCGCATGATATCAGCTGAAGCAGACCTGGCAGCAAGCCTGAACCGGGGTGCCCTGCGGGTGAAGGCCTCCCTCGTCCTGCGCACCACGGACCGCTCCTGCTTGGCATCGCCATCAATCACCTCCGCAGCCGCCTCGCGCAGCAAATCCACCAAGGTGGTGCCTTGGGCAGCCGTGGGTTCCATGAGCCGAGTGTGCCGCGCAGCAAACAAGCCGCTCCCTCTCGCCCTGCCCTTGAAAAACCACTTTAAACTGGGGAGGTGCCACTTGTCCGACGGGCGTCAAGGTAGGCGGTGGTGAGGGTGGAGTAGTTGACAAGCGTCGTGGAGCTGGAGCGGACGTAGGCGTCGCAGAACGCATGGAAGCGACCGCGCCCAAAGGCCTGGAACACGAGCGGATCGGTCCGCACGTCCGGGATGGTGTCGGCCATGTCCAGCTCGTCCAGCTGCTCGGGGAGCCTGGGCAGCAAGCGGGCGATGGCGTAGGCGTCCACGAGCGCGCCGTAGGTGACCAGGTCGGGCCGCACCGACTCGGCCCTCATGTGCTGCACCAGCACGTGAAGGTCCCAAAGCATTTGCATCCGCGACAGCGCCAGCGCCCGGATGTTGAAGGTGGTGACGTCGGGCGCGCACCTCGCCGACCACATGTTGACCGCCTCCCTCTGGAGGCTCTTCATGGAGAAGTTTGCGGCATGCGCGAGCAGCAGCAAGTTCCACAGTAAGTTGCCACCGATCCTCTTCATGCCCAGGGACTTGACGAAGCCTTCCATCTGGTAAAACTGGTTGTGGCGGATGTAAGCCAGTGCACAGGCGCGCACACTCTCCTCCCGTGGCCACCCCTTGATCCGCCTCAGCTCGCCCTGGGCGCCTTCCATCTCCTTGATCATTCCCATGGACGCGTAGCCTTGCGCAAGCAGGTTGAGAATGTCCGAGTCTGGAATCCAGCCGTCTGCTCGCATGGCCTTGAATGCCTTGTCCATGCGCCCCACCAGGCCGCCGCTCGCGTACGCCTCGATGACGTTCTTGTACACGAAGAAGTCAGGCTCACACCGCACCGTCTTCATGGTGTTCACCACCTTGGCCATCTCGTCAAACAGGCCCCTCTTGCCATAGGCACGGATGAGGCCACCGTAGGTGACCACGTTGGGCTGGATGCCTGTATCCAGCATCCGCTTCATGGCCGACTGGGCGCCCTCCACCTCGCCGCTCTCGGCGTAGCTCTGCACCAATGCGCTGAAGCCCACCACGGATGGCCTCACCTGCATCGCCTCCATGCCGTCGAACACGCCCTGTGCCGCATGTGGCTGCCCCGCCTTGCTGGCCATCACCATGAAGCGCACAAAGTGCTCCTCCCGCGCCCGGTATCCTGGCTGCTGCTTCCACCACTCAAATGCCTTGACACACCCAGGGTCACAAGGGGAGCTCGCGCAAACAGAGACCAACCAACCTGCAGTGCCTCGTCCAGGCGCTTGCCCTTGTTGAGGGAGGCCACGTAATCCCAGAAGTCGCCCGGCCGCCATGATGTCTGCCTGGCCTTCGCTTCCACAATGTCGAGGCGGCTCCTCCGGTGCCTCCCACCGGACGCGCCAGCGGCGAGGGCGTAGTACGCTGGCGCCGCCCACCACGCGCACGCCGCCATCGCCTACCTCTTTCCAATGATGATGTTAGAAAGGCAGACTTTTAATTACTGTGGTATATAAGCTTATCACTTGGTTCAAAACATGCTGCTACAAACCCCCCTCTCACAACCATAACACATTAGATGAGGTCCGCGACGTTGTTTGGCAGCTCCTCAATGACAGTGTTGTAAAACTTCTGGATGTCATGAAGCATCCTCTCGTCCTCTCTCACCATAAAGTTGATGGCCACGCCCTTCCGCCCAAACCGACCGCTGCGACCAATTCGATGCAGATAATTCTCCGGCTGCGTCGGAAGGTCGTAGTTGATCACCAGCGACACCTGCTGGACGTCGATGCCGCGCGCGAGCAAGTCGGTGGTGATGAGCACGCGGGACGAGCCCGACCGGAACTCGCGCATGATGATGTCGCGGGTGTTCTGGTCCATGTCGCCGTGCGTCGCAGACACGGTGTGGTCGCGGCTCCTCATCTTGTCGGTGAGCCAGTCCACCTTGCGCCGGGTGTTGCAAAAGATGACGCTCTGCGTGATGGCCAGCGTCTCGTACAGGTCGCACAGCGTGTCCAGTTTCCAGTCCTCTCGTTCCACGTTCACGTAAAACTGCTTGATACCCTCCAGCGTCAGCTCGTCTCGCTTGACGAGAATGCGCACCGGCTTGTTCATGAACTTGCGGGTGATCTCCAGCGCCTCGGGCGGCATTGTGGCGGAGAAGAGGCCCACCTGGACCTTGGAGGGAAGGAGCTGGAAGATGTCGTAAATCTGCGACACACAAGGCACAGGCAGGGTGGTTATATAGACCAGCTTTCCTTCCACCTTACCTGGTCCTTGAAACCGCGGGACAGCATCTCGTCCGCCTCGTCCAGGACAAACATCTTGATGTAGTCCGGCCGCAGCGCGCGACGCCTGAGCATATCGTAGACGCGACCAGGAGTGCCTACCACCACATGGACGCCGGCCTGCAGGATTCTCTGGTCCTGGCGGACGTCGGTGCCGCCGACGCAGGCGTGCACCTTCACCTGCAGGTAGTCACCCAGTGCCCGCATCACCTTCTCGATCTGCTGCGCCAGCTCCCTGGTGGGCGCCAGCACCAGCGCCTGGCACTCGACATTGTTGTAGTCGAGCTGCTGCAGGATGCCGGAGCAAAACGTGGCCGTCTTGCCGGTGCCGGACTGGGCCTGCTGGATCACGTCGATCCCCTTGCAAAACGGCACGATTCCCCTCTGCTGGATGGTAGAGGGCTTTTCAAAGCCTGCAAACACAGTCACATCCACGCCCATTGGGGATACGAGGCGGCTCACCGTAGGCGTAGATCCCTCGCAGCAGATTCTCGTGCAAGCCCATGGAGTCGAATGTCTCGTTCACCTCGTCCCAGCTCGATATCACATCGTCTCCTTCCAACCTGTGCCACAGAGGGAGTCAGGCGCACGCAAACAAAGCACACCGCGCTTACGCAAACTCCATCTTCTGGTCATACTGCCGGGGATCGAATTGAGAGGTCTCGGGTGCCAAGCCAGCCATTATCTGCAATACCTGCAGTCAAAGAAAAGAGAGACGCGGGGATAGAAACCCTGATGGATCCTAGCACTGCGGCATTGGGGATGCCCTAAAACCCTAGCCTCCACATACCTCCTGGAAGCGAAGATCGAATTTGGTGACTTGAGCAGAGCCCAAGTACAAAGATAGGGCAAACCCCCATAGCCATGCCCACGCCTCCTTTTTATACATGCGGGGAGTCTTACGTGGCGTCCCATTCTCATCAAATCCGAGCACGAGACCGAGCTCCCGCGCCCCGCTCGCCAACCGGCAGCTGCAGCTCCCCCCCTTCCCCGTCGCCCAGCGCCGCAAAATAGCCCTCCACCACCTCGCGCGACACGCCCTCGAGCTTGCTGGGATCCCACTGCACACACACACACACACACACCGTCAAAACCACGGCGGCTGGTCGTGCATGCAAACTGCTTACCCGCGGCCGGTTGTCCTTGTCTATCAGGATCGCCCGGCACCCCTGCACAATCTCAAAACCGGTCTCAATCCAATGGAGACATGCCAAGAAGCATCACCTCGTAAAAGTCTCCCGAGTACTTTGCCGACACCGCACGGAAGCTCATGCGGTACTCCCTTGCCAGGCACTCGGCGAGGGACTCCTGCCTGCCTCTACGAATCTGAAGCACAAGACAACCTTTGGGTGAGTGTGTGAGCAGTGATTACAACATACCGATGCCAGGGTGATCTTGAGGCTCGTCGGAGATGCTCCCTTGAGCTTGCTCGTGGCCTTGTCCAGCCACTCATCGTCGCCGTCGCCCCGCTCCCTTTCCTTCAGGCAGCATTTCAGCTCACATTACACAAAACCAAACCTTGTGCCCCTACCAATGCATGTAGAATGCCTTCCACCGTGTCTCCCGAGAAGCAAGCATTGATCACCTGCAGCCTACCACCCGTGCTCATTTAGTGATCACTCTAGGAACTTGACGACAAGTGCAAACCTGTGCAAGCAGCTCTTTCCCTGCACCGGCGGCCTGCCCGAGAATTTCCCGAGTGTTTCTTCCACGCTCTCTGGCGAGGACACACTGCGCAGCTCGCTTTCTAGAGATGCTAGCCGCTGCAACAAACGACAAGGTATTAGAGAGCGAGCACAACCGAAAAATAAAAAGCTCACCTCCGACGGCACATAATGTGTTGCGAGCCCAATGTTGAGCATGTCAGCTCCATCAAGACGCTCGCCCGTCAACCCCAGATACTCCCCTTTGACTCGGCAACTCTATCAAACAAGCTTTTGAAGTCGATCGATACAACTCACCCAAATGCCCATCCAAACGAGACAGAAAATACGATGCTCCAACGTCGGGATGCAGTCCGAGGGCAGTCTCCGGCATAGCAAACAGCTGCAAACTGGATCAGATGTGGCTCCCATCGTCTGTGCCAGACAGCTACTTACAGTTTTCTCTGTGGCAACGCGATACTTGCCATGAACGGAGACGCCATTCCCGCCACCCATGACGACCCCGTTGAGAAAGGCCACCTATACCATGACAGACTTGTCAAAAAGCGAGCTGCGCACTCACCACAACGTCAGGCTTGTTGTTCCTTACATGCGGCTTCTTGAATGTCGCAAGGTAATAGTTGAGTACGTATTCCTTGTAAAAGAATCCACTGGCCTGGTGTTGGCGACCTGTAGAAGTGAGCACCATGAGATTGTCATGCAAGCGAGGGAGACGTAGGTTACCCTGACGACCAAGTTCACAAACACTTGCAACATCACCGCCGGCGCAGAAAGCCCTCCCATTGCCCTGCACAAGAAATTTAGACTAGCGGTGGTGAACAAGACAAGCTCTCGAGCTCAACCTTCAGGATGACTGCGACAACGTTGCTGTCGGCTTCCCACCTCTGGTAGAGTTCTTGAAGGCGGACGATCTGCACACAGTAGGCCACTGACGTGAGTGTGTTGAAGATGAGTAAGCCCACCATGTTCTCATTCAACAAGTTGAGCTTGTTGGGCCTGTTGAGCAGCCCGACTGCCACGCTCCCTGATTGCTCGCCCAGCACCTGCAGTCAAGGAAATTTCAGAATTCCACCACCTTGATTGGATCACCTCGCTTGCATCGGCCGCGCTGGAGGACGGCATTCGCCCCTTGAACATGCTCCTAGGCGCAAGACGCCTCAACATCTAGAGCCCTAAAGCCGTGCTGACCAGTCAACCAAGGCAAGAGTTCCGTCAACCTCCCTTTTGTTGGTCACGGTCAAGTTTTTCAATGCGTTGGCCAACTTGACAACACTCCTGCCAAGATCGCCAAAGGATCCGCCTTGTTTGTTTAGGCGCTGCCGCTCTTGTCCGTCATGGCTTGCAACCCCCAGTTGGCGTGTCCATTTAAGCCATGGATCCACGTCTCCAACTATCCTGGCCGGGAATTGAAAACTCACCTTCCAAGATTGGGCAATCATTGAAAGGAATATCTTGGAGCACTCCAATCCAATCGGGTTGCTGGAGGGAGATTACTTCTCTCCGATCACAACCTTGGCATGTGTTGTTGGGTGTGGTGCCCCACAGAAAAACAACCAAACTCCAGAGCTCAAGGCGGCGTGGAGCGGGAAATCCACCTCTTTCGACCTAGCACAATGCTATTATGCTAGGCTTATTTGCACTTCAATTGCAATCACGCCACACTTGCTCGATCGCTCATGCTCGCTCCTCCCGAGGCTGGGTAACATGAGGAAAGAAAAAAGAAATGAAACCGCTGACTTGGTGCCACAGGGTTTAACATGGAAGCCCAACAGAACCAAGCTCCACGCTTGTCTGCAAATTCATAACCGATCACGATTAGAATGATACCTCGGCAGTTTCCAGAATAGCATCCGTTGCACCAGCCGCTTTCAGCTGGCGCAAGTGTCCCAAGTCCTGAGCTCTTGCATATATAGGAGTCTGTGCAGCAATATACACATTTATGATAGAATCCTGTTCTAAGATAATATAAACGAAAACCGCGGAAATGCCAGTCTCAACCGCTCAACTCTCTTTTCCTGATAGTGTACGTCACCATCACTGCATTGGCTTTTTTCACGCTTGAAGTACCAGAGGCCTAGATCCATATCACAGGGAAGCCCAACTGTCTAGATGCCTGCAGCAAAATGCAAAGAAGTTACAGCAGAGAACTTGTCTAAAAGTGATTGGCTTGCCTTGACACGGCTATAATCAAGATCAAAGGCAATATATGGCCAGCCTTCAACTTCGCCACCCGGACCATTGGATAACGGAGTGGCTAGAAAATTAGCCAGAACCTGGAGAATCAAATATAAATACGAAACACAGTTCATGAGCCTGATAAGATAGACAAAACTATTTATTGCAGAAACCTGGCCAGTCTGCCCAAAGCCGACAATTACAACCGGTTCGGCAAATTGAGGAATCTTGATCTCTTTTATCTGCGGCAGGTAATCATAAAAATCAACAGATGACAAACGGAACAGGCTTACTATTTCGTTGTGTTGTCGTTTCTCTTCCAGAGAAGTTGCAACAATGCGACCAATCTCATTCAAGAAGGGAGTGACAGCCATAGACAAAACAACGACAATAATAGTTCCAGTGGTAGAACTCCAAGCCCAAAGAGATTCAGATTGTTAAGTACGTAAGATGAAGAAAGCTTCAGTACCTGTTAGCAAGTGCAAATACCACAAAGGCAAACTCTCCACCTTGAAAAAGAAGGAAACCAGTGCAAATACTTTCCGGTAGCGTCAGACCCACTCCCTGGCCAATAACTGTCGTGATCAGAGCCATCAAACCTCCTAAGGGTGTCAAAACATTCGGCCATTCACGTATCAAACGCTATAGCATGAACCAAAAATCAGATATATCAACCACATCACCAAAATTCAGCTAACCTGGAGGTCAATGCCGGTGGTTACAAAAAAAAAGTCCAAGGAGCAATCCTCTAAATATCTGCTTCAATTTGGGTGCGATAGCCATAAGAGCGCCAGCCAAAAATGCTCCAAACTTGAACGAGAAGGCAAATAATAGTGAAAAAAAGCTGCTGCTAAGTGAGAACGCAAGTAACTTCTGGTATCACTGAGTCCAAGCTTTTGAGTCAAGAGAGATGTGCCAGTGACCGTAAGTAAACATAAAGCAACGAAAGCTTCAGATGGAAAAGAAGAATTCCTAGCGTTGCAGAACCAAATCGAGTTGGAAGTTTCCACTCAACAATTTACATCAAGTTGAAAACTAGTGAGATGATTACCTGCAAAACGAATGCAGAAGAGGACAATGATAGTCCTGCTCCAATAACTACAGCTTCATTTACAGTCCGAATATTAACCTGCAAGCGAGAGAATAGATTGTCAAGTAGCAAAACATTATTCAAATATACTTACAAGGTCAGGTCGTGACTGAAAGAAAAATTCCAAGATTTTCCAAAGCTCCATTAGGTGGAAGCTCAAACGCTGTGAAGGCAACAGTTGAAAAAAGTACCTGACATAAACAATGAGTGACAATTGGCATTGTTCTTAAATTCACTTACCGGCTCGAATCCCATTCCAAACGCATATTTGGCCAAAGCTTTCAAGCGTGCAAGGGATAATTCTAAACCCATTTCAAACAACTGTTGCAGCGAGAAACATTTAGCATTCAGGCACAAACACAAGCGACAAGGAAAAGTATACCTAGTTCAGATAAAACTTTAATGTCTGTTACGTTACGTATCAATCCTAGTTGATTCAAGTACGCCAGACAAGAGAAATCCCAGAATCTGAAACACATGAACAGAAGCTTGCAAAATCTCATCAGATAACTTTCAACATTTACAAGACTGAAAGCTTTGACAGCAGGACTATGGCGATGAGGAAGGTCAGACCATCCAGCCCGATATCGTTGATTATCTCCAGACTCATGTCGACAGTGGCAATCGTCGAACCTGACTCGTGGAGGCTTTCTCCTTGGTAGCCATGATCGAATTAGACTGTTTTTGTTGTGTATGGAGCCAACTCTTGGTTGTCTCCCATATGTAGGTGTCTGCGGAAGCCTGTTATCTACGAAAGATAAGAAAACACACACAGACTCAATACTTCTACAAAATACTCTGTTGGTTCTTCTGTGTGATGCCTCAAATACGAGGTTCAGAGACATGTTGGACTCGTAAGCTATCATCTACAGAAACCTCGCAGAAAGCTACTGGAAAGCCTCGATCCGATGAGTTGTGCAGCGACTCCGATACCGTGGCCATATATCCACATTCAGATTTGGCCGTGAAGAATAATGTAAATCCTCCCAGTTCACGGCCTTAGCAACCAGCTCCTGTCAGTTCCTCTCCATCGCTCTTGCTTTGCCCT